GGTGCAGAGAGCCCATCACCCATTGACCTGCCTGGGCCCCACTACTGCAGTGGGGGTTGGACAGACCCCTCACAGGACCGGGAGTCTCACTGCTGTGTCAGGTAGACCCCACCCAGCCCCTGTAGGGAGGGGCTGACACCTTGTTCCCTCCCCATGGTGGCAGAATCTGTACACAGGAGAGGTCCACAGTCCCAGCTCCATCTGCAGCCCAAGCCCCCTGTGGGGATGAGGGGAAATCATAGAATCATAGAAGTAGGGTCAGAAGGGACCTTGTAGATCTTCAAGTCCGACCCCCTGCCTGGGCAGGAGGGAAACTGGGCTCAAGTGACCCCAGTCAGGTAGGCAACGAGCCACTTCTTAAAGACCCCCAGGTTAGGAGCCAGCACCACTTCCCTTGGAAGTGGGTTCCAGATCCTAGCCGCCCTAACTGTGAAGTAGTTCCTATGGATGTCTAATCTGAACCTACTCTCCAACAACTTGTGGCCATTATTCCTTGTTATCCCGGGGGGCACTAGTGGAAACAAGGTCTCCCCCAAACCCTTCTGGTCCCCCCTAGTGAGTTTATAGATGGTCACCAGGTCCCCCCTCAGCCTTCTCTTGTGAAGGCTGAACAGGTTCAGGTCCAGTAGCCTTTCATTGTAGGGTCTGCCCTGCTGTCCCCGGATCATGCGGGTGGCCCTCCTCTGGACCCTCTCAATGTTGTCCACATCCCTCTTGAAGTGGGACTGGCAGTGTGAGTTTCACTGCCACAGTAGCCCCCCAGCCCAAATAATTGCCCTCCCTTCTTATAAGAGCTTGGTAGATATCAGAAGAGCTAAATTATGGGTGACTCAAGTGCGATACATAATGAAGATGTGAAGAAATATGCAAATATTTTAAGGCCTAATTGAACTCAGCATCCAGCTTAAGTGGTAACAGATGTGGAACAAGCATTTACTGTATTTACTCAATTCCAAGATGAGGTCTTTTTCCCCCCCATTTAATAAGGGCAGAAAAGCCCTTTGTCTTGGAATCAAGTATGAGGTTGAAGCAGGGTAGGCAGATGCTACAGCTCTGACTCCTGTCCCAACCCTGCTACCTCTCCCATTACCACTTCTGTACCCTCTGCCTCTCCCCAACAGAGTGTCAGGCCCCCACCCTCCCTCCCTGCAGCCTCTTCCTTCTTGCTTCCTTGTTTTGATACTGGCAGGCTTTGTGCCCCCATCTCCAGCCTGGGGGCATGAAGTATGTCCTCAGCCTGGCACCATAGCAGGGGTGATGGCTCTGCACTGCTTCTATGGGGCCAAGCTGGGGCTGTGTTCTTTGCTCCAAGGTAAAGTGGGGACACAGCCTGCTAGTGTTAAGCAAGGGCAAGCAGCAGGGAAAGTGGGGGGTAGAGGCTGTGGCATGGGGGAGACAGGGGAAGGGAGGGTAGAGACCTAAGGCTATGGCAGGGTAGAAGCAGCATGGCAGACAGGAGTAGGGGGCGGGGAGACAGGGGGGACAGGCAGCAGGGAACAAGTTGGCTGTCTCCACCACCACCTCCCCTCCACTGCCTGCCCCCAATCCTTCCCCCACCACCTGCCTCCCCACCACCTCCACATGGCTTGCCTTCTACCACCACCTGCCACCTACTGTCTATCCCCAGTGCTGACTTCCACTGCTTTCCCCTTATTGCTGCTCCCACCACGGGCATGTTCAGATGAGTGCACACGTGCCTCTTGCCCCATCTCAAACCCCTTTGAGGTGGGGCAAGAGGCATGTGCAGGAATGAAAAAATGTTTGCAGCATGGGGAGAAAATTAGACCTCTGGATATCCAAGGGTCAAACAAAAACCTGGGGGAAAAAACCATGTCAAGGCATGGTCCTAGACCGGACCCTGAGGCAACTGGAAGCTCAGTCCTCCAGAGTACCAGAGCATCTCTATGATTGGCCCTTTCCCGGCTCCTGAAACACACTGCCTACCAGTGTGGGGCAGGCAGCGATGCAAGATGCAGGGACCCAGACCAAACTTTTGGCAGGTAAGCAGGGGGTTGGGGGCCTGGAGGAGGTGGGGGGACCTTGGGAGGCTGGAGACAGCAGGGGAATGAGCAGGGGGCTGGAGACAGCCCCGGAGGCATTGCTCTGCTGTCCTCTGCTCTCTTGAGGCTGGAGGCAGCAGGGGAATGTCTCCGGGGCTGTCTCCAGTCCCCTGCTTCTTCCTCTGCTTGTCTCCAGCCTCAGGAGAGATGGGGACACCAGAGGAGTGTCTCCAGGGATGGCTTCATCCAATCTCACTCCTCATGCTCATGCTTGTCTCCAGCCTTGGGGGATCAGGGGAAGGATCAGGGGGCTGGAGACAGCAGGGGAATGTCTCCAGGGCTGTCTCCAGGCCCCTACTTCTTTCCCTGCTTGTCTCTAGCCTCGGGACAGCAGGGGAATGCCTCCAGGGGCAGTCTCAGCCTCCTGCTCCCTCCCAGGGCTGGAGACAAGCAGGGGAAGGAGCAGAGGGATGGAGATGAGCAGAGCACTGGAGACAAGCCCCTGGAGATAAGCTGGAGACTTCCCCTGCTCTCTGCAGCCTCCAGTTCATTCTCTGCTACTGCTGGTGAGTGTGTGGGGGCTGGGAGAGCAAGCGGGGAGCTGGGAGAATGAACAGAGGGTGTGGGGAATGAATAGGAAGGGGGGAATGAACAGGGGGCAGGGGGAATGAGTGGGGAGCAGGGAAATAAATGGGGAGCAGGAGGAGCAAACAGGGCGCAGGAGGAATGCATGGTGGATGGGGGAATGAATGGGGAACAGGGGAATGAATGAGGAGCTGGGGGAACCAACAAGGGTGGAAGGAATGAGCCTCCTGTTCATTCTCCTAATCTCTACAACCTCCTGCTTGTTCTCCTGCTCATCTCCAGCTTCCAGAGCCTGGGGAAGAGCAGGGGAATGAGCTGAGGGTTGGAGACCAGCGGGGAAGGAGAGCTGTCACCCCTGGGGGGTCCTGGGACCCTGCAGGCAGGGTAGTCCATGTGCTGGGGGGGGCTATGCCCTGTGGGGGACAGGGGACCATTGGCAATGCATAGGGGGTGCACGTGCACTCCCAGAGCACGGTAGTGCACCCCCTCAAAAAAGGTGCCACCGACACTGTTGGTGATGCCTGTAGGTGGTTGCCGCTTGCCACCCCACAGCACCAGTAGTGTTTGTGGGCAGTCAGCGATCGCCGCTGGCCACCACTGTTGCTGCCAGTGGTGTCTATGGGTGCTTACTACTCACCACCCCTTCCCCCCGCTGCCAACAGTGCCAGAGGCATCTGTGGGAGCTCCCCGCTTACCACTGCCACCATGCTCCCACCGCTGCCATTGCTGCCATGCCTCACCAGCTGCTGGGGGCATGCAGCTTTCATGCAGGGGACCCCCCCCTCCTAAGCAGCCCCCACCACCACATCCCCCGCATCCCTCCACACCCACCCACATCCACCCACCCCGCTTCCCACCCCCTCCTACAAACCCCACATCCCCCTATCACACACCCACCATGTGATAAGGAAACCCAAAGAAAACATTAAAACATATAGATATTTAGGAGTTCTTTTATTATGATGCTAGAGACACAGATAGGTTTCCAAATTTCTTTAACATTGTAAATATAACAATAAAACATTGCCCATCTGATCAAACCCCCTTTCTCTCTCTCTTTTGTTCTAATTGTGGAAGAATGTGGATTTTGGGATATTTTAAAAAGTGAATTTGGGACAGTATCTCAGCAGTCTAGCTGACACAAGGGACTAGTGTCCCCAGATACCAATTGGTCGGGCCCCAGAAGCTCCTGAGGTCAAGTAACCCTGAGCTGTTGGCCAGGGCAGGTTTTTGTACTGCTGGGGCCAGGACAGGGCAGCCTTTTATACTGCTGGGGACAGTACAGGTGCTGGCCCCAGGTTCTAGGTGCCCCTGGCTGCAGATCCGGGAGGAACCAGGCAGGGTTATTTTGCCCCAAGTGTCACAATTTGTTCCACAACAAAGTGCATGTCCAAGCACATGCACTGACACAAAAAGCCCCAGCTCAAATGTGCACCGCTTCTATTTGAGCTGCTGCAAGCGCACATGCTTGCATGTGTGGACGCCCCCCACCTGTGCTCCAACTGCCTGTGCTATGTTTTGTCCCCACCACTGCCTACCCTTTACTACCTGTCCCACTGCCTGATCCCCATCACCTGCCCCCTACCACTGCTTTCTCCACTGCACTGGTGGTGGAGATGAATTTAAGATGTTCCTCCCATAATTAGATGCTATACTTGGAAAATTATAATGAATTTATAATTTTTCCATGTATCTAATCTACTTATTGGGGGGTTGTCTTAAATTCAGGGTTGTCTTAGATTTGGGTAAATACAGTAAATCTTTTTATTCTGTTACTTTAGGAAAAATACTTTATTTGAATTCTAGAGACCTTTGAAAATGTCTTAATAAAAAAATTATGTTAGACCTAAAGCTAAATAGACTCATTGCTAGTATAGACAATTATCTTTAACTCCTGTGGACTGTGTCACTTCTAGTTTTCTTGTAGATAACAATTATCAAGAGTTTTCAAGAATTCTGCAAGTAATTGGCATCCTGTGGAATTCAACACATTACTCTGTATAGGCCAAATGTTTCATAATGGCTTCAAAATGTGTTTGAAATGGTTCCATTTTTGCAGCATTGTTTATATAGCAATGAGAGACTGCAGTTTAAATGTGCTGGTCAAGAGACATGTATTGGAAAAATAAATATTCCACAAGCTCTGCTTTCTCTCTAGAACTCACTACTTTGATTCAACAATTCTTCTCTTAACAAGTTCCAAAATTCCCCTGTTGATGTAAGAGCAAAGAAGAAGCAACATCACAGATCTGCTCCTTTAATTTAGTTTGTACAGTTCATAATATGTGTTTTTATGCAGCAGTGCAATACTAGGGAAATGCAACGACTCAATTTTTTGAAAAGTAATTGCCCGTAGGACAGAATATGTCAGTTTAAAATAAGGTTGCACAAAATAATAGATTAGGAAATGCTTACTTGAAATCAAAGCTGAAATATTGTGTTAGAATGCAGCTGTTCAAATTGGAATGTGATTAGAACACCCATCTCTTCTGAAAAAATAAGATAGAAGCTTTCATGAACACAGTGTCCATAGATCAGCCTTAGTTTACGACAAGACCTAGAACTAGTTGATTAAGTTGGAAATAAGTCCTGGTATGTCAGAAATGCTATATTAATCTCTCATCACATATACGTATTATCAGAATCTCCTCAATGTAGGAGCCCAGAAAAACCCGAATTCTCAGTGCCATGCCTTTACTTTTTCAAACCTCTTTCATCAGCTGGTATGATCCAGAATTCAGCCCAACAGCACACTTCTCTTCCTCCCTACTCCAACATTTATTCAAAATCACATGAAATTGCAGAACATTGAACCAGAAAGAACTTCCTCCCCCCCACAAAAAAAACAGTTCAACTACTTCCAAGTACTCTCTGTACCTATTTTGTTTGCAGTACAGCATTTTATTGTCCATTGACTTGATAGGAGAATGAGAAAGCCAAAATACTATAGGTATTTTATTCACATATCAACCTCATAATAAAATATGGGATTTAACCTGAATATTATTATTCTGCCTCTAGGTCTATGTCCCAGGGCAATGAAAGGAAAGCTGTGGAAACCCCTTCTCTGGGGCCAGTACCATGGCAGCAAAGCCCCACAGTCCCGGGGAAATACCCATAGAAGCCCCATAATGGGGAAATACTTACCTACATTGGGTGTGGTGAGTGGGAACTGGCTGCAGCTGAGCAAACTGCCTGCACGGTTCTTCAGTCACTTGTTTATGTGGCTGGAGCACGGTGACTGGACACGGTGACGATGTCACTGAAAAACACCAGCTGGCTCAGATAAAAACTGGCAGCAGAAAGAATGCCAGGGAGCAACAGTTGAGAGGTGGTTGTACACTCCCCCCAGCACAACCAGAGCTGCCTCCACAGTGGGGCCCAGGATGGGGTCCCAAAGATGGGTCCACCCCACAACTAGAGTGGTGCTTGGCACCAGGACCAGAAAAGATGCCAAGGGACAGACCGCAGTAGCATATGCGAGGCACATGAATAGGGAGTTGAAACTGTACCTCCCTGACACTTTGATTCATTCTTTTCTTCTACATTTTGGTTGCCCCTAAGGCCAGAGGATGGTTGCATGCCTCACTCCTAATGCCAAGGAACCAGGAGCCCTCAGAGACTCCAGGTGAAGACTCTGAAAGCTGAGTAGGCTGCTCAGTGGCCAGTAAGCACACGGTCCCAAGTCATGGACAAGAATGACAGATGTAACCCAGGCCCATGTTAACTGGTCCAAAAACAAAGGACCCTTGTCCGTTAAGCAGCTTGCAAACCAGACACCTCATTCAGGCCATCACACTCGAGGCCCAGATCAAGGTCACACCACTAGGCTTGGCACCTGAAGTCTTCAGGCTGTATAACACCCAGATAAATCCAACTGGTTGGCGCATGGAAAGGGGTATAGGGGAGATGGATTCCCCAGGAACATCCACTGGCAATACCTCCTAGCAAGTCCCAGCTTTGAGGGAGCCTCCCACTCTTGGATAGAACATCTAGATGCAGCGGGCAAATATCAGGGGCTTCTCTTGGGAGGTGATGCATGATCAGAGAGAGTGCCTGAGGGAAACCAGAGACAGGATAAGAACAATCAATCCCAAGCTATTCAGGAGTAGCTATATGAAGCCCGACGGGTACAGCTTACAAATTTACAAAAACCACACAATAATTAAAATCCATTTAGTAAAGCTTTTTTATGTTTTTTTGACAAATATCGAACAATTTGAACAAAAGGTAACATTATTTCACTATAACTTCCTCTAAATATCAAAATAATAGTACCAAGGAAGTTGGTTAAAAACTATGGAGAATTCAACCTCCAAAAACTATGGAAATAGCAGTCTATCTTTACTCTGTATCATTTCACTGGCATTCCATTCCCTACCCCCAACCCCAAATGATCACTTTTGTGCACATTTTTCTTCAATTATTACAACAAAAGCTCTTTTCAAGTAATAGAAAACGATGCTATTTTCTTCCTGGTGCAAGCAGCACTCTCACAAAAAGTAGCAGTGATACTAAACATTGGCCAAGATTGTTATGGAAATATATTTCTCTGTATCCTGTTGTCATGGCAGCTAAAGATCAAGGCATGCAGGCTACATACAATAATTTATACTGATTTGAAAGAAACATTCAAATATATAATCTGATACATTTGAAATGGAGAAAAATTAAAGATTTTGTATAGTTCAATAGATTTTTAGTTCATTATTTATATTCATTGGGTTCCCTTACTATCCAGTGTACTGGCAATATCATTACTTAGGCATTTTAAATCTCCTTTTAATTTAACCCTGGCATTAGTCCAATTTCAGCAATGCTCTTGACTACACAAAAGGGTACTGCAAACTTACATTTTTTGGGGGGTAGTGATGTTTAGATAAGGCTAAATGGTCTTTGCTGTACTGCAACTGACCCTAAATTTGATAAAATGATAAGTCTTGTGTGAAAATTTCAGTTTCCTTAGTAAGAAACACTGACCTACCATTCATTTCAGAGTTGCATTCAGAATGTCCAGTAGTTTTGTTTATATAAGAGAAAGAAAAGAACAGTACCATATATCAAAATATTTTAGGTGATAATCTAGCCTCTGAATACTTCCTTGCAAAGAAATTGTTATTCTGTATGTAGAAGTGCAAAACAAAATAGTTTTATCTATCCACACACTTAGCCATTGTTGGTGGAATAAATGTTCTCAGTGGCATGTAACATTGTTCAGTGTTGTGGAAAATTCTAAAATAGGATCTCATCACATGTGCTACCCTGGCTCTGTACAAGAAGGCTGGATTAAAGTGACTGTTGCAGACTTCAGAATACAGAATGTTCTCATTTTTGTTGGTGTTTATGAACTTCTGTCTGCCTTTCTTTTTTTTCTTTTTTCTTTTGCTTATATCCCATTTATTTTATATGGATTTTTATCAGTGAAAGTTTTTGCACACACATACCTCAGGTCATCTGAGTTCTGTTTCCTGATCCAGATATTCTAGTTTGGGGTTCATATTTGTATTACACAGGCATCTCTATAGACTTGGATGATAAAATGTCTTTGCTTTGTCATAGATGATGATGACAATAGCATAATTAAGATACATGTATTTTTTCAAATAAAGAAAGGAATCTGAAACAGGCAGCAGGAAACAAGCTGAAAGGAATTTGATGGGGAAGAGAAAAGGGTAAGTGATGGCAAGGAATAGAAATAAGCCCTTGCATGATGCACCAAAAGGCAACAGATTTGGGTAGAAATTCAAGAAACAAGAGCCCTTTGTTAGCCATCTACTATAAAAGCAACAGTGTTGTGCATTGTTTTACCATTGTACCTAGCTACTTTTGAATAAAGGGGAAGTGAATAATAGGGTTCATTCTCTTCCCAGGGGGAAAACTGTATGTGCAATGTACCGCTTGATATTGTGTGTGTAGCACGTCGGAGTCCCAAGAGTAGCTGTGACACCCCACTGGCAGCTCTGCAACCATGCTCTGCTCCGCCCCTAGGATGCTCTCCCTGTCTCATCTGCCATGCCTTGATGGATAATAAGTTAAGAGGGAGGCTGCCCCCCAGACTTTGCTAGGCTTCAGTCCCACTGGTCTTAGGCCTCTGGCCACACGTCTGTAATCTCAGGCCCCTGGCTGGGCCTATATGTTCTCAGATCCCCTGACTGGGCCTCTGTAGTCTACTGTGCTCAGCTGGGCACCCAAAGCCTGATGGGCTATTTGCATGGCTCCTTCAATTTAGCTAGGCCTACTGGCCTAGGCCCACTGGATGGGACCTGGCTTCAAGGCAGTAGCTTCCCTTGTCTGTTTGCAAGCTACTGAGCCCTTGGCTCCAGTATGCTGGGCCCATGGCCCCTCGATGTGTGCACCCTTGCTGGTGCTGGGCCCCTGACCCCTCGGTAGCTCACTTAGCACTCAAGCCTTTAGCCCTCCCCTGGCAGGGCTCAAGGCAATCCAGTGCTCTCCTGGACACCAGTGAGGCCTCCACCTCTCCTACAGCCTCTTCCACAAACCACCGGTTTATCCCAACATAAATACAAGCCTCTGGGCTATAACATGAACAATGACATGCAGCAGTCTTCTGCCCCTTTAAGAGTATAAACCTCTACTAACCCAGCATCCTGGGCTCCCCTTTACACATAAACTTGACCTTTGCAATGGACAACTCCAGGAGCAGATCTGTCAACCTTGGTCATCATCTCAGAGCCTTAGGTGGCCTTTTAGGTAACCTGGCCCCCTGCAAGGTAATGCCTAAGATCTTAAACCTCACTACTTTATGGGAAAGCAGCAAATGGGGAAACAGGTATGATGTTTTAACAGAAGACTTCAGGACTGAAGAGATATACTGATGTGTTCTGCACTAAATGGAATTCTCAAGGGTTTATAACTTCATGCCTAGATCGACTGTACTGCTGTAATCCAAATAAGCAGTGACAAAGGCACGTGTACCAGAAACCAGATCAGGGCTCACCAAAGTGGGATGGCATTTCCTAAACAACCAGGGATGATGGGAAAAGGATTACTCATGGATGCAGCTACATAAAATATTACTATCAGTAAATAACTCAATAGTATAATGACTAATGACTAATCCTGGATGTATATCTTCAGCTAAAAAAGACTTGCTGTATGGATCTTAAATTGCTCAATTACACCTAATAATCTTAACAAGGTTAACCTAATAAGTTAATAAGTTAACAAGGTTCAATAAGTTAACAAGGTTAACTTATTGTTGTGGGTTTAACACAACCCACAATAATAAGTAATATAAAGAGACTCTGCAAATAAAATTCAGAAAACATACATACACTCTTGAAGGTAGTCTGAGAGAGACAAGTGAAGAACAGCAAAACTTTTATGCAAATACCTGCCTCACTTCCTTCAATACTCTACAGCTAAGTACAGATATTCAAAAATCCAAAGAAAGAATAGATCTAAGTTATGCAATTTTCTGTAAGCGGCCTAGGTTAGATAATTTGTGAACAAGATATACATGATCATCCTTTGGTGGAGGGGCCATGCAGGCTGCCTGCACTGAATGAGGCCTGCAGGTTGGGGGCACCCCTGGTCACCTTCCAGCATGCCCTGTGGGTTCCCTAGGCTGCCACAGACTGCCGAGCACCTAGGCCATCCTGATGGCAAACACAACCTTACACACACACACACACACACACACACACACACACACACACACACACCCTAGTACTCTGGGACCCTGTACCTGTGGGCCAAAAAGCCTTGCAGCATCCCAGATGGCCACGGCCTGGGTACCTGCTGGCAGTGACCAAGCCAAGGAAGTCACAGGGTTCTCTCTGTGCAGGCCCAGTCCTGAAGTTCTGCCTCCTACCACACCAAGTGACTAGAGGCAAGCCGCCCACACTGGCTCCTGTTTGTCGGGGGAAGAGGGGTCTATGCTGGGGTCTTGGTGGCATGGTTCCTGGCTCTGGCCACATTGATGTGATGTTCAGGAACCAAAGTTGGGTTCTATGGGGCTATGCTAAAGACCCATGGGAGTCCATGGGCTCATGCAGGGGACACAGAAACCTCCCTTCCAGCTCCCCAGCTGCCTGCATGTAGCTGACAGATGGCCTGGGGCAGGAGGCTGGGGTGAGGGTCTGTGCTGGCTGAGCTCTGGGAGAGCTTGGGGGCAGGACCTGCTATGCTCTTGGCTGAAGCAAGGGTGCTGGGCCCTGAGCCAGAGCAACCAAGTGCAGGCTGAGTTCCGTCCTGGGAGAGTTTTCAAACGATGCTGGAATGCCGGACAACAGCAATCTCATTTCAATCGATAAGGGATCTGGTACAAAAGTTTGATTCACCGATCTAACCTAAATTGATTGCTTGATTAGCAACCTGCCTAGAAGAACAGGTTATTTTGATTGTTAGCCAGCACACTGTCTGCCTAGGGTAAGGTTATTCAGTTACTGAAGTTCTTTAATAATTGCCCCATTCAGTGACAGACAGGCAGTGCTGGTGCCAGTGTGCACCTCCTTTTTGCAAGGATACAAAGACAACTTCACAATTGCAAAAAGATCAAGTGTTCATAAAAGCAAAATGGAATTCATAAGTCCACACAGATATATTCCTACACTGTCACAAAAGGGCTTTGATATCACAGTAAACTTGGCGTGACACTGTAATTTTCTATTGTACTTGTTTCATAATGTCATTAATAAAGAGGCTCCATGGAATCAAAATCATTTAATCATCAGTATCTCAAACAATTGTGACATCAGCACAACATGTTTTCCATGGACTTGCATTAAAATAGAATATTCAAAGACACAAATTAAAATTGATTTGTCATTTTGACCTCACATAATAATGGTATGATAACAGCATTCTAATTAGTAAATCAAACTTACATTAGATTCAGTTTGGAATTGTTAATTCATATTGTGATGGATTCAAAATGACACTGCAGTGAGTTGAACTATGCATACAGTTCAACTAAAATTGTTTTGGCATTGTGATATCAAATACTAATGGCACAGTAATGGTATCATATTATAG